GCGGCGGCGGTGGTGGTGGCAGTGGGGGCGGCGGCGGCGGCGGTGGCGGTGGCGGTGGCGGGGATGGTGGTGGCGGTGGTGGCGGTGGCGGTGGCGGTGGCGGTGGCGGCGGTGGTGGTGGGGCGGCGGCGGCGGTGGTGGTGGTGGTGGAAGAATATGGTGGCAGACTTAACTCACGAATGCGATTTCCAACTACAATAGTTGAGGCTGTGCTACTTCGCTGGCATTGGCGATGCGGCCAGTGTGACATACCTCCTTGACCAGGCATGCCTCCCACTCAAGCAAGATAGTGGAAGTGAAGTGCAACATGAACTGGTAGCATCGCCATTTAACGTCGCGTTGAAGGATGCCTGTATACAGCAAGTTTGGCAAGCAGAAAGCGTGCTTCGGAACAAGCTGTGGTTCTGGCTTCCCGTAAAAGGCTCGAAGAGCTGGCGACCATTTCTTCGTCAACAGTACCTCACTCAGTGGGCAAATACAGGGGCCTTTTGGTTTGGAAACTGTTTCCTCGTTTGCTTTGTAGGACAATTATCCTATGTAGGGCTTGCGCGCGTTCCAGTTCGAGCCCTTTTCAGCTTGTCTGGCAGTGTTGCTGTAGGGCAGAGGCGCCCCACCCACTGTCTCGCCAGACTCTATGCGAAGCCAGCTGCTGCAAAGCATAACAAGAACCATCATAAGTTACACTGTATACAAGACACCGTGAGTAGGATATGAAGAGTCCACCCCCGCTAGAGAGTGTGAGGAACATGTTTCGTGGGTCCCAGGTGTGGACGACGAGTCACAAAAGCGGACGGCTCTTCACTACTGCGCATTTGAGGGCAACGTAGAGGCCTGCAATCTCGCAATCTTCCAGTATTCCTGGGTACAAATTCATCCGAATGGCTGGACACTGCTACCCATTGCTCCACACACCGGCTACCGCACTGTAGCCACTTGGTTGCAGAGTTGCAGTCTAGCATCTTGAACTTGACGGTATTGAGCCCACTCGAGTATGGGCCTAATGATGTGTTCATTCTCCTTTCCTGCTGCTGCCATGCATTTCAATGAAAAGCATAAATTCTATTCTCTAGATGTTATCTTATCTAAGATCCTTCCTGCTGCTAAGATTTCTGCATTACTGTTTTGTCTTTCGTCACCACCGTTATCTTGGACTATGCTTCAAGTGCACCTCTATCCCATCACAGACACGCACAAGCCTGAAATGGCTCGTTTCGAAGCTTCCGAGCTGTTCTGCTCCAGGTGGCTGAGGCTCTCCTTCTGGCTGGAGCCGATGCCTTCCTGCGTGACAGCGAGGATAAGTCACTGGGATCATGTTGCAGTTTGTAGAGACGAGAAAGACATTGGATTGTACATGTGCTCATTAAACAAGATTTTGTGTGGGACGGTGGGATTATCATGCAGAGCGTACGAGCATTGAGGTTTGTAGTTCTCTTTCCGAAGGGGGCGAGCTAGGGCCTCTGTTTTTGAAAGCATGTGCAAGACAAAAGCCCCTCACAGATTGGGATTGGTAGGCCTTATCGGAGGGCAGCTCTCAGGCGCGTCCTCATATATTCTTGCATCAGGTTTGCCTCCTGGTACTGGGCGGTTCATGGGCAAATGGAGGTCGACTAGAAACCGAAACCTGAAAGTTCTTCGGGAGGAGCGCACCCCGCTGCACGTAGCAGCTTCCAGGGGCCAGGCGACTCGCCTCCAGGAGGGTGCTGAGTGCCAGTAGTTTGCAGGAGAGCAGCCTAGTCTTCAGTCAATTCTGTTTCTGAGATCCGGCTTGGCAAGCTGGAAGGTATTGGCAGGGGTTACCTTCTGGCCACATTTGACATCTCTAGCAGAATGACTTCTCTATTAGTATTGATGACTGCATTCCTGTGAGGTGGGCGTGGCCCGTCAGCTCCTGGGCACTTGCGTTTGCAGGCGGAGCATTGATTCTACTTCCAGCCTCCTCGCACTGCCTTTTCTGCCATAGGCCTAGCAGATGGTAGAAAGAGGACGAAGAAGTGGGCTGAGCTTGATCCTTGATCATTGAAGCACTGTCATAAAGGGCCCCCTTTCATGTACATGCTGTGCCAGGATTCGCGCCTCTGCACTTGAGCGGTTTCACATGGAGCGCAGCGGGCTTATGCAGGGTTCCTAATTTCTTTCGCTCCCATTTCGCGGTCGCGAGAATACTTCAATGGACTGGGATCACGTTGAGAATCATCAATGCAGTGGCGTTCAAGAATTCAACGCAAAAAACGTTGGGGTGAGAATCCAGTTGCGCTAGCATTGATCAAGGAGTGGGCCAGCCTAGTTTCATGATATGTATGAGGCTCGGTATGAGGTTGCATGCCACGACCTTTCCTCTTGGAATGATTTTCAGAGTTGCTTTGCATTGACAGCCGCGCGTCAGCCGCTATTTG